CAAAAACTACAAATATATTTTAGTTTCTCTTCGTTTTATCTTTATTTCTTTATATGCACCACTGTTGGTGGAGTCAAAAAATATTTAATGGAATTCTGTGATTGCTTTTGAGGAATACAAGAGAAGAAAGATTTGTTAGGATGAATCTAGGAAATTAGTTTAAACATGTTGTTGTGATTTGTAATCACAGTACAGGTAATGTCGTCGCAATCGGCAGCGGCTGCAGCAGAAGTTGGTACGGCAAGTGCTTTAACAGCACCATTGGCTGTCCAGCAGAATGGTGACGGCAATCCGGCGCTTGATCGTATCCGGCAAATGTTACTGACGCCGCCGTCTAGCCGACCACCGGAGTTCGAAAATCCTTTGGAGAAAATTGAGCAACTGTTAACATGTCCAATATGTTTAGATCGGTATAAGTAAGTACTTATAAAAATTTTTAATCGTTTATTTTTCTATATATTGCACACTTGTTAAACCTTATTGAAAATTATCCACTAAACACAAGAGGTATAAATATGTATGTTAATTTACCACTGTGTTGAAGCATCTGCTTGACATATAAATTGGTTACATTTTTTTTTTTCGATATACCGACGGTTCAGTATCAAGTTTAAACTTCCGTTACTGTTTTAAGTTGCATGAACAATGGTGTGCAATTTATTTTAGGATTATTTGTTTCATTGTCTTTTTTTTCTTTCTCTTTTTTTTTTTTTTTTCGAATTGATGAAGTTAAATTACTGACTGGTTGACGTATAGCAAAACTTTTTTCAAGTTTAATCTTCAATTTGCTGGATCTGATAAATTTGTTGAGTAAAATCGATGACAATGTACTGCTCGACTTGAAAGCATTATAGAAACTGCACAGATGAGGATCTAGTTCTCATCTCATAGCTGATGCTGAGACGACTATCGATAGTGTGCGTTAAGTGCACTGTAAATCAATAGTTATCCTGTTTGATGAAAAGAGAACTTTTTTTTTTCATCTATAGTCTGCATTGTACGTTAAAATTATAGCTTCTATTTTCTGAATTATGAAATTTTAATGTTTTTAGGTGTAAGGGCTTTACCACCTTGTTCTTCATCTTTTTTTTGTTTCTGCTATAGTACTGAATTTTCTCATGATTTTTGGTTTTTTGTTAATACAGAAAATTTGGATGCTGAAAGTAAGAAGCTTTTTATGCTGAAGTTTGCGTAGTATTTGTTTGATGAGATTGCAACCTTCAAAAATTTTCTAGGCTCTTTTGATTTTTTAGGTGAAGTAGAAGAATTAATTAAACACAGTTTGCTATGCATTTCCAATGTTACATTACAGTTCCTTTGAAAAGCTATAATGAAAAAGTTTTTTCAAGAAAAAAATTTTTCTTTCTTACTTTTTGTCTGCTTTCCCTTTACTTCAGTCTTATTTCAGTTTATTGATTTTTAGAGTAAGCATTTGTTAACTGTTTATTTGCTATTGTCATTGCTGTTTTTGTTGCTAATGTTGATGATAATGATGTTGGTGGTAAGGATTTATGATGTGAAATGATGTTGTCGATAGGAATGAGTGGTGAAAAACCAGTATACAGATTTAGTGAGACAAGTCCAGTTCTTCCTTGTAGTTGTTCAAAGGTTTATTAGAATATTGAAACAGAGAGATAGTCTTTCAAGAATTGAATATCGAATGACATTAGTCTAAATTATAGTTTCTGGCCACTGATGCGGATGGCTCAGCTAGACTTGGTGAGAAATATATAGTGGTTGTTGTCCAGATTAGAGCGTCGGCGGTCACTGAGTTTAGATTTTCTTAGACTGGATGATAAAGATAATATTTTGAATATCTATGTGGTACGTATATTTCACATATCTCTAATTTCCGTTAAAATCCTCTTGATGTTTACAATTTTTAGCCTTTGCTTGACTTTGGACGTTAAAAGAATTTTAATTTGTCTTAATAATAGTGTGCATATCATTGGTAACTGCAGTAAATTACTAATGTTTACTGTTTATTCAAAAGAAGAGGAAAAGCTCATTTCGTTTGTAAAGAAATTTCCACATATAAAATTTAAAGAGCTACTTGTTCATCCAGTCAATTTTATTTGAAATAATTCAATGTGAAAAAGAAGAGAAAGAGAAAGGAGTGTTTTAATGAAAAAAAAAAAAAAAAAAA